AACTTAAGGAGTTTCGTTTGAGAAATCCAAGCATCTGGGCAGCCTTAGTTACTACTTTGTCTATATGTGAAGTAAAAGTTAGTTTACTGTCTATTAAAACTCCCAAATCTCGGATTTCCTCAACCTCGCCCAATGCGACGCCACCAATCTCGTACGTAGAAGCAAGCGGTTTTTTCTTTCGGGCATATTTTATGTGGAAGCATTTTTTGACGTTGAGAGTCATGCAATTGGAGTGACACCAGTATACAATTTCATTTAAATCGTTTTCTATTAGAGCAACATCAGCGGACGATTTGACAATGCTGTAGATTTTTAGATAATCTGCGTAAAGAGACTTCCGGCAATGTTTAATGCGAGTAGTAATGTCATTAATAAATATCAAAAACAGGATCGGACCCAAATGGGACCCTTGAGGGACCCCAGACTCATAACCATTGACAACAACACTCTGACGTCGCTCTTGCAGGTAAGATTTGAACCACTGAAGCAGCGAACTCTCAAATCCGTAATTGCTAAGTTTTTGTAAGAGCAGGCTACGGTTGACCTTGTCAAACGCGCTACTAAAGTCTGTATATATGGCCTCGACTTGAGATCCACCATCGACTTCCCCGCATAAGTCTAATATAAATGACACTAGATTCGTCTGTGTAGAGTAACCTTTCCTAAAACCGTGTTGATGGTCTGATATACTATTTTTATTTTGTTATAATAGGATGTAAAACAGCTTGGAATAACTTTGAAAAACTGGAAAGTATCGAAATAGGGCGATAGTTTTTGACATTACTCTGATCCCCTTTTTTATACACGGGTACGATTCGGGAATTCTTCCATACTTCAGGATATTTTCCCTCCCGCAATGAACGATTGAATATCATTGTCAGGGGTTGAGTCAAAACTGAACCACAGCGTTTTACGAATAGTGGTGGAATTGTATATGGACCCGCTCCTTTCAACGGGTCGATTTTTTAAATTTTGTTTAAAACATCACGTTCGTGCAGAGTTACATTATTTATTATATTATATAAGATTGATACTGAAAGTTAGTCACTATCTCCCACGCTTATATCCAACAATTACGCTTTACAAGGACTGTAAAGTTTTAACAGTCCGGCAATTATTTATATTGCATGTCATTTTATTTAAGCATTCTAAACTATTTTTTGATCCTCCTTTTAATAACAAAAGAAGAAAACATACCGTCTGCCCAATAGTGACCTTTCGAACAAAATTCGCTGGTAAATTTTTGTGCTTTCTGGGAAGCTACTTATATAATAAGCTAAATAATGTACTGGCCTTTTACCCTCTTACTAGACATGAGTGTAAGAATAAAATAACAAATTATTTACTCAGTCTCGATTATCAGACTACAGAAGATCTTCTATATTGATTTATAATTTATGTACTCCGCGCGCATGCACACACACACACACACACACACGCACACGCACGCGCACGCACACGCGCACGCGCACGCGCACGCGCACGCGCACGCGCACGCGCACGCGCACGCGCACACGCACACGCACACACACACGCACACACATCCTGGGAGTATGCAATTACATGCACATCTCTGTTTTATTGTTTCATCTTTTAATATTATTATTATTATTCATTTTTCTTTTTTTAAGTGTCATATTAGCTTATTCTTTAATTTTACTGGTTGTACTTACGTCACTAAATTATAAATTATAATCATTTTATTAGTATTATTATATTATCATTTTCTGCAATAGTTACAATGATTGTAAAAATTGATGTTTGTAATTTATTTACATTGCAACTGCTTTTTCAAACACGGTTTTATCAGGTTGGGTGAGAGCCTGGAGATCTGTCACACAGGTTAGTTCCTAGTATAGACTCCAGTCTCTTGCAAAGGTACCCTATTATTTAAGCATTTTCATGTAAATTACATTGTAAAAACTTTGTACCCTTGTAAGAGTAAATAAAGGTTATTATTATTATTATTGATTTACTTGAATGGCAATCAGGGGCAATTTTGTGTCGTATGAGAAGAAAAATCATTACTAAAGACTGAACGAAAGTGTCGAGCAAACAAGTTGGCAATATTTGGACCAGAATTAACAATCACATCGTCCATTTGCATTTTCGCAGGAATCGTCGAGTGCCCACCACGTTTATTTTTTATAAAACTCCAGAATATTTTTGGATTTTTGGGAATATTACATTCTATTTTGTTTTTATATTGACTATAGCATTTATCAGTGAGCTTATGACAACGAGAGCAAAGCATTTGATATTCAATTTCATCGCGAGGGTTTCCGAATTTAAGATACCTTATACGCGTTCTATCCTTTTCCGCTAAGAGTTTAGTAAGAGAGTTACTAAACCAAATAGGGGAATTTGGCTTGGTGGACCTGTATTTCGGCACATACTTACCAATGACAACGTTGAAAACAGTGTATAATTCTGATACCATATCGTCAACATTTTTACAATGAGGTAGTCTTGTGTGCCAGTCCACATTTCTAAGATCTCGTATTATTGAATTATAATCAGCTTTATAATAGTTATTTTTATCATTAATTTTTAGACGGAGATAATTAACATTAGAATACACAATTCGTAGCAGTAGACTTAAATGATTATTATATATTTTGGATAGATTACTTAAAGGAACAGTCACCGATGCTTCTGGCAATCTACAGAGTATTAAGTCAAAAAATCTACCATCACTATTACTGATACAATTAGTTTGATACAAGTTATTAACTGTCAGAAAGTCCACTAGGGAGTACCCCAAAGCTGTATTATAATTAGATGGAACCATGTTGGTACTATTGTTCCAGTTAATGAACCAGAGATTAAAATCACCCAGGATTATAAGGTCATCGGTTTGGTGTATTATACTATCAACACTTTCCAAAAATCGAAACGATGTTTCTAATTTTACTGGAGGTGGTAAGTATACGACGCAGATTGCCAGTTTTCTCTCCGTTTTACCAACAGATATTTGAAGTGTTATCCACAAGGTTTCCACGTCAATTTCCCAGTTCTGTACTCGTACCGAAGGTATGTCCCTTTGAGCTGACTCTGACTTTTCGTGATATATCCATACCGATAGCTGACTGTCTCCAGCTACTTGGAATGGACCTGTCGTCCAGTTTGTACTTCGGCAGATACATTGAATCCATGGCCAAACATGCAGCAAGGAAGCTTGGGATCTTTCCAGGGTGAGGCGTTACTTCACACCGGGACAGTTGCTTCAGCTCTACGAAGTACAAGTCCGGTCGTGCATGGAGTACTGCTGCCACCTTTAGGATGGCTCTGCTACATATAAACTGGCCCCCTTGGATTCAATTGACAACTGTGCCGAGAAGCTTATAGGTGACTCGGAATTAGTGGAGGCGAAGCTGCAGAGCCTTGAACACCGATTACGATTAAATTATACGATTTAATTCCGCTTTCCCCTTTCCATCACCGGGGGTCTAGGCGTAGTCTTGGGTTCCACTTCTATGTTGTGGATATTCCAAAGATTCGCACGAAGCGTTACGCTTCCACATTTATATGGCGAACGGTTATGGAGCGGAATTCCCTGCCTGCAGACTTGGTCCCTAAACTTTATAACTTGGGCCTTTTCAAGGCGAAAGTGAACAGTCATTATTTAGGTGTGCATGCTCCATCGTCGGTCTCATCGTCACTTTCCATCAGGTGACGTGGAGGTCAAATGCGAACTTACATTTTATAAAAAAAACAAGTCTTATCTTAGAAAACTCATTTTCTGGCGTCGCCATTTTCACATACTCAATACGGAAGCGTGCGCGTGCGTACGATCGGAGCGCCTGATCGAATTGAACGGCGCGCCGATTGTATTTATCGGCGGCGCGCCGGGCGGCGCTTGTATCTATCATAAAAATAGTAATAGTTTCGAGAGTTTTACATAATATGCCAATAGAATGCAGTTCAGTGCACCAGGACAGATAGATAGGTCGATATTTTCCCACGCATATTGGCACTAACCGCAAACACCTCCGCGCGGCCAGCGCCTTACAGCTGCGTGCGTGTAGGCACCGAGCGCGTAAAGTAAATTCTCGCCCTTGATCCAAATTCATCTGTCCGTCTTAGTTTCTTTAAATTAAAACTAATAATTCAGATCAAATAACAATAAAAGTAAAGAATAGTGGCATTCAATATTCATGCGACTTGTCCCCGACATTGGACATTAAGTTATTTGCAAGTTAGTTGGAATATTTCCATAAACCTTTACAGTACGTATTACGCTCTAGCTCAAGTTGTACCGTTCAATATGGTAGGGTACAACGGCCTTTCATTAGAGGAAACCCATGTGCAGCGCAGTGACGAAAATGGATGACGCAACACAGGATTGATTTGTATTTAATGGGCATGTTTAAAAGGACAGTTTAGCGAGCACGCTGCGTACAAATGTAGTTTGGCCTTATTTAAGATACTAAAATTAATGTCAATAAACTTTATAGGTACGATGGTGTACATTGTAATTCTACACAAAATTACACTTCTCATAAATACCAATAATCATAAAAATACACTTTTTAATACGTATTAGTGACCAATGAGCCTAGTTAAAATAATCAATTAAATTCAAATATCGAATTATCCAGACCTTATTTATCGAGTTCTTAGGTTTTCGCGATTATTACATATAAGAAATGAAACTACTTTTCCGCATTTAAAACGCGTATATTTGTTTGTTCAAACCAACCAACGTTTCGTTTCGAACTACCGTATTTCTTTGAATGAATTTCAGTAATTTTGCTCGCAAGTACTTCAATGCGAGTAGGTACTATCTCGTATTCTAGGTCGATAGAGACAGCAACAAAATCATATGACACATGTGGCCACGCGGCCTGGTAAATCATACATCTGAAAGTAGTTTTATGAAAATGCTTTTGTATTTGTAACGAATAGAGAGCTTGGTTTCAACTGTACACTATTCCGTAAGTATTCAGCCACGCGTGTTACATTTTCATTGGCGTTACAATGTTACGTTGTCGTTTCAGGCGGGCACCGCGCGCCGTGCTCCAACGAGGGCGAACCGGTCAGTCTTCAGGACGCCAAGCTGGATCAGATCTGGAAAAGCTGCTTCCGCTGTATTTGTAAGGTAAGATAGACGAATAAAGTATGTATAACACACTTATATACTGCGTATATAAGTTTGTTGAATTGAGTACAGTAAGTAAAAAACTTTTGATTGTGAGAAGATATAAAATTGATAACGATGATAATCTATTGAAAGTACAAGTAAGACTAAGATCTTTGCGCGTTAAAGCTCTGAGTGGCACTGTAACTGTTATGTATAGGCGTGTCGCTTACCACCAGGCGCACAACTTGTTCGTTGCGTCACTTAGTGTTTTAAACAATGCTTAAATATTTATTTTAGTCTAACACTGAATAATGGCAAGGTATTTTAATTACATTTAACGTTATTATTATTATTAGAGTGGCTTCTTTCCGGGCATATGCAACCCCTCACTGACTCATCACTGCGACCATCAACTAATCTATCTATTGTGCCACTAATTACAGTTCAAAATCAAGTCCGACATTAAAGAACTGAAGGACTTTCCTGGCTCCGTGAGATTTTTATTGATAATTATTGTAATAATAATAACGCACACATTCAATTTAGCCCCGCACTAGAGAAACCCTGTGTCGCGGATGCCCTGGACACACACATAGACAATCACAAATGACACCCAAACTCACGAGAGAAATAAATGTAGGCCACACTCATATTTCTCCCGGCCCCGGAATCAAACCTGTGACCTCTGCTCTGCTTTGTTATTTATGTACTCTGGTTGTGGTATGTGCCTTTCCAGTATGGATCTTCGTACGCCCATTAGGATCATCATGGATGAGAAGATGAACAGGAGTTTCATCCACCTCATGGCAGAATCTACACACTCTATCCTCTCTCTGCCCAATATTTGACATGACTAAGAGAGCATTCTAATTCTTAATTCTTAAGTCTCTAGTGAGCAGTCTGATGCCATGCTTTTAAGGGACAGATCTTCTCTACTGTGTTTGGCACTGCATGCGGCTATCAGGTCTTTTCAATGCTCAAAACCCTTGCTCTGTAGCCATGCTTCTCCGAAGACGTGAGCACACATGTCTTCCGACTTCTCTTCTTCGTTCACCAGCGTGAGCTTTGCCAGGTTGTATGGGATCCGAACGACCCGCCTGCTTCGTATCCATGGGCGATACCGAAGTCACGTCACACCGTTCGCGTTTGCTGGGCGGGCTACCCATTCCAGCCAATGTTTCCTCCAAGGAGGAAATTGAGGGGGTAACATTGTTTGTACCTTGTTCCGTATCCATGCACGTCTCACGATTAGCAAGGGGAGTAAAAGGCCACAGCGGCAGAGCCTCGCTTGCGCAGGCTCACGATGGCTCGATGGATAGGCTCTCTTCCTATGCAATCCTCCACTCATGGAGGTACGTCGTTGTGACATCCCCACACACATGTCACGTCGCATTTAACGTTAGGAAAATGAGTCTTTCTGTACAACAGACTAGACGTAAGAACTGAGTTTTTTAGAATACTTGCCTAATAAATAAAAGACTTAAAAGTCGAAGTGTGAAATAGTAGATGACGTCCATAATTGTCTCTGGGGTTTTGTATGAGCAACGTTTGTATGCCTACACGGCGCGCACTGTCACCAAATCAATTTATCACGCGCCGAGTTTAGAATAACAATGCTAACTCACACGTGCGCGTGCGCCAAGCTCGCACCTAGACAATAACTGCCGAGTAACTTCATTAGAGGCCACGCTTCCAGGGGTTTCGAAAAACTGGGCATACACTATTTACACGCAGCCTGTGGAGGTGTGAAGATTGTTATCTTGATAACGGTGTCTGCAGCGATTGATATTACAAAAGCATATATTATTTGTGCGTAATAGGCTTTTTTGTACACACTATTGAGCACCTTTGGGTGTTTAGAGCTCACCAAATGGTTATAAATGACGTAAGGTAGAGCGTTAGATGTGCTAATTGTTAGTACCTACAAGTACCTACATACGCAATATCAGCGGGCAAGAAGTAATGTCAGCCCATGTGCATCGGTCTATTCTGTTGTTGAGTAATAAAAGACAAATTGAAATTCTAAGAAAGCTGCCACTACTCAAATGGTTGAATGTCTGCTTTAATTAGTGTTAACGGAACATAATTGACAACTAAGAAAGCACAAAGCGAGCGCCTAGTTTCAAAAACGCAGTGATAATTTCTTTGTCTGCATACCTATAGCAAATTAAAATTGCAAAATTACTGTGGCCGTGCATAGTGCAGGACGGCTAGTCTGTTGTCGTGGTTGCAATGCGTACCGTAGCAGCGATGGAGTGTGCCGGTTTGTGCCGGCGCGCGCGCAGTCGTCGTCGCCTCCGGCAGTAACTGGCGGCGCCCACGTCCTCGCCGCACAAAAACCTCCAATGCGGAACCACTTGGCGACTACAGCCCCAGTAATCCAGCGCAACTGTTCCTAACATTCCATTATTATTCATCTCTGTCCACATTCTTGCCTTGTCATGTAAAAATATTTTATTAGTTCATCAACAATGTATAAATGTGCAGACCAACCTGTTCACTGGTACCGATGTTGTCAAGTTTTTCTAGCAGTAGATATTTTAAAAGGTGTAATAAATTCGTTATCACTGCACGGTTGGCAGAGACACGACATCAGCATGGCCGTAAGTTTGTGCACCTACGTATGTATATGTATGGTATATGCGAGCGGTATTTCCCAGCCGATCTCACCTCGTCGGATGACTTGCGCGGAATTCGAAAGCCCATCGCGAGATTTATTGCTTATTCTGTATTAAAATATACATTTGCTTAGGTAATGGGCTTTTTTGTCGCGTGCCATATAACGACTGTGAGATACCGTCCTTTGGTTGATAGAATTTTTAACTTGTCAATCTTTTCAATGATCAACTAATGCACGGGAGAAGTGAGTTGTATCCGTATGTGATGCATTCGTATTCGATTTGTATCAGGGTTTAATTTACTGAAATGGTGTTAGATTACACGGAGCCAGGTGTGTGGCGTCTACGACGTCGTCAAGAAAAACCCCAGGGTGCCATTAGCCTTTTTATACAATCAAGTAGCCGGTTGATAGCATCTCGCCGCTACTGCGCACCGCTTACTTTAATGAGGCATGTCATTTATCGAAGCGCGGATTACAGCCTCTTGGCACCCGCCCGCGCCCGCGCTGCCACCCGCCGACGCCGCTACCACCGACATCGCCACTAACTGCCCTCCCTCATTTCACTAATACCCATTTTCTGCGTTTCATAAACCTTGCACCACACGAATATAGCTGTGCATTTTACTGCATAGCGTTTTGAAATATAGTGCGCAAAGAAGATAATTTTTTTAAATATTTGTGACTAGTATTAAATAGTAATTAAGTTTTATAGTCACTACTTCCACGAGATATAAAATTCCCTATGTATTCATAGCAGTATTTACTTTGCGGGTAGTATAATTTGTTCTGAACTCGCCCTATACCAAAGTCACGTTCATTTAGAATAATAACTACATGTACAACAATAAAATGCAATTGGAGTTTTGTATAATTGATTTTAACTTGTAATGTAATTCTTTGTAGATTATTTTACGTCTATATTAACGTTAAGTATACTTACAACTAACAGGACATCTTGAATAAAAATACATACTGACATCTAAGTTTGAGATTTCGACTATACTACTTAAGCATTTGGCATTTGGGTATACCTATACTTAAGTAAACTATTACTTGATTTAATGTAGCACTTTAAATTTTACGTTTTACTATTCGCATAAAACACGACTAGAGCACTTAAGTGAATCATCATTATGTTGCAAATTGAAAATTCTGCAATAAAACGCGAATAAATAAATAAAGAGCAAAATGCTGTTCTAGTGTAATAATAGGGCTCGCGGCCCTTCATGACAATTTAATTGAATCATGGCGGGCAATTTCTAACGTGGAACAGTTACGTGTCTGCGCTGGGCCGGCACGACTGTGGGCTGCTGGCGTTCACTGGCCGCTTCTGCAGGCTGATAATTAAGTAATGCTGCACGAGTCGCTATTTTTGTCGTGGCCGTGCACTCTATTAATATCCCATAAATTGTGCTTTATAGTTACAAGTAAATTGCTGAGTCAAGTACCTGTAATGAGCGTGCGCGCGCTACTTGCTCCAAGTCGCTCTACAGACGCGCTAGCACAGAACTTCAATATATTCGATAAGGAGAGATATTTTGGGAATACTGCTCATAAATTCGCTATACTCAGTTTTTTGTGATTCATGATTTATTTTGGTCCAGAACTATGACTAACTTTTAAAGTTTGTTGTTTCAAAGTTTAAGTTGGTCATTAGCGACATAAATATGCAATGATATTGCTTATGGTACAAAGTACAAGAAGCTTTCTGGTAGGTGTCGCGTCAGCAGACTTACGAGTATGTGACAGTATGGCATCCGTAGTAAAATGAAGGTATTACAGTAAAGGGGTGGGCAAAGAAGGAAATCGATAAAAGTATTTTCAAGGAATATACCTCAACAAGTAACATTGAAGTTAAAGTACGTTTTTGATAACATCCTGTTCAATGGAATCCATATTTACTATAATAATTCATGAGAAGACATGTTGAGCAACGACCGGTTGAGACGCCTAGTAATGAATTTTTGAAAAAACTTCGTGCAAGCGTAAGATGTCGTGTAGATAGTGTGCAGTATAAGGGATGGCATTCGGCCGAATGATAATTGTTGATGTAGTATGTGTATGAGATGTTGGGTCCAAATGTGAAAGTGGGTGAGTGGCGAGCGGCGCGGGCGCGGGCGGGCGCGCAGGTGCCGCCGAGGCCTTGCCGCGAGCGCGCGCGCGGTATGCGGTCGCACCGGTTCTTCTAGCACCGCGTATTTTTTACACGCCACACATCATCGACATTGTTGTTGTTTTGCTATGATGCAAAAAATATCAAAATTTTAAGATTCTTTCTAAATTTTAATACAGTATTGGTAATTAGTTTCACCTTGACCCATACTAACCCATTAGTATCCATTTTGAAGTACAAGTTGTGGTATGGGTACCCTGATTTGCACAAACTCCTGTGTAGAAT